GCGACAGCAAGACTCCGTCTAAGAAAAAAGAAAGGTCTCGACTTGGAGATTAACATTGAATGAGCATCTACACAAAACCAAAAACCAAAGATAAGGTCGTAGGGAACATCAGTAGCAGAACCAGCATGACTCAGAATGCACTCAGGCATGACTCTGATCCTAGAGGATCCTGTGATCAATCAACTTGCTTGGAAAACAATGGAAAAAGCAACTTAACTGGGTACTGAAAAGCATCCATTCGCTCCTGCTTGGGATATGCAAATGTCTGACCAGTCTCCAGCACTGATGGGATTTTAGCAAATGTTAGCAAACATTAAAGAATCAAGAAGCTATTGAAACAAACAAACACCTGATTAATTATCCTTCATAGATTTCAAATAAAGTGAACTTGAAATTATCCCTCACCTGTTCCTCATAGGGTGATTCATGGCATTAGGTTTTTTACATTCCTGGAGCCATAATGGACTGATAGGTGTATAATTCAATTTTTTTTTTTTTTTTTTTGATGGGGTGGGGAGGTCTGGTATTAAAGAATTATGCACTTTAGGAGATTTTTTTTTTTTTTTCTATCTGTCTGCCCTGGAAAGTTTACTGGAACTTTGGTGAGGAAAGGGGGTTAAATCATTTTCAATCTCCACTGAAGAAATAAGTCTAGACATTCAGCAACAAAGGCTGAGTATGTCATAAAGAGAGAGATAGCTAGATATTTTTTGCCTCCTAATGAAAAAAAAAATCATTTATAAAATAGTATTGAAAAAAGAAACTCTGACCTGAATCAGATCAGCTTCTATATCTAATTTCCAATTTATAGTAAGTACAGAGGACAGAGGAGCATGTTAAATTCTACTATGGAGATTCAATCAACAAAATATTCATTTTGTAATAGTCCACAAACAAAATTACCCTGTTTATTTGGCTAATAAATTGCGAGAGGTACAGAGCAAAAAATAGAAAGATTATATAGATTAAAAGAGACTTCGAACATATATCGAACAATCCCAATGTCGGGGCAGTATTTAAATCCTAATTCAAATAAATGTTAAAAATAACTCCGTAAGACAATGGAAATTTGAATACTAGCTGCAAATTTGATTATATTGAAAATGATTTTTAAATTATTTTTGTTGTGATAATGCTATTGTTTTTATGTCTAACAAAGCCCTTGTCTTTTAGAATGCATATTGAAATATTTATGAAGAAAATTACATGGTATATAATATTTTTCAAAATAATTGAGAAAAACAGTGAATGGTCATAGATTTAATGATTCACCATGAGTTCATTGTTGAAGCTAGGTGATGGACATATGCAAGTTTAAACATATTCTGTCAATTTATGTCTCATATTCTCCATAAAAATTTGAAAGCTACTGGAAGGAAAGACAATATATTAATGTAGATCTCTCTTCACAAAAACAAACATGTTAATTCCCAGGGAGACGAATCTGTCCATTTCACTGTGAATATTTTATTTTATTGTAGAAAATATGTATTATAGAGTAGCAATATAAAAATTTTTAACCTGGTATATAAGTCCAGGAGTGATTTAGTAAATCCATAGTTACCCAGAACTATATACAAAATCGATATTAGTTGTTTGTGTTTTTGCATTCTGGAGGTCAAAGGATTCAATATATCGAGAGTATAAAATAAAACACAGAGACATTACTGCTTTTTAAAAAAGAGATTGCAGAGAAATGTTGATTTTCCTAATGTGATCTGGAAACTGAAATGAAAAAAATGCATTTCCAAAATAACATAATCAATGAAAAAATGTTTATATTTTGTCAAATCCAGGCATATTACAATGTATAATTTGAGGAAAAATAATGATATATCCTTGTGTATTGAAGTTTGTATTTGACTAAGTCTGCTTTGTTCATGTTCGTGCACTCAAAACCATCTCCTCTCTAGATCGTGTCTCTTTACTCATTTAAGGCAACCTCCCTTTTAGCCCATGGCCTTCTCCAATTTACCTTGGCCAATGTTGAACTGTAGGAACTCTTATGAGCAATGTTTAGATTTCTATGTGTACCATTTAATAAATGTTCTGTCTGCAAGTTCAGAGTAAGTTCTCTGTTGGCATAGACCATAATTTTGCTGCCTATGTATTCCTCTAGTTGTGTAAATCTGGTAAGAAAGCATCACTATTCACGGTGCTTCCACTCATTTCATTTTGCCCTTGATCTAGAATTAAAGACACCTGAATTAGACATTGTAGAGGAAACCAAATAATTGCCATCTTTGAAGAAATATTTGTATAATACTTTTTTATTTTTCTAAGTTTACTCATACTTTTATTCTAGTTGAACGTGAAAAATTAGGCACACATGGAAATATTCAATGACATAACTGTAGGCAAATTTCTTTTTTCATATAGTTCATTTTTTTAGTTCTCATTTTGTTCTCATAATCATGCATTTTAAAGTGAAAAGACAAATTCTAAGACAAAAGTACAATAGAAACCTTTCCCCTCATGTAAATTTCCTTCTAAGGTCATTTTGAATGTGATCCTTTTTTACAGCTTAAGGTATGTAAGTTCACATATTTAGTAGGTTACCATGATCTCTTTTTCTCACATTTAAAACTGAATTTAGGAAAATGTAATATCTAGGAAGATTTTCATGAGTTTTTCTCTTCAGCAGTGTTACCTATTTTTCTGCAGTGTAACAACTTTGGAACACAAAGGCATTTGAAATAGGCATCCTTGATACAAATTGCAGATTACTTTCTCACTACTCCTGGCTGTGTACTCCCAAATCAATAGAAATTCATGGGATCTGAAAATTAAATCTTGCCGTCCATTTAAAAAATTCTGACTTTATTGATAAGGTTATAATCATTCTGCACCATTTTAGCAAGTTCAGGTGGAAAAGTATTAACATCGACATTTGAAAATGAATGTGTTAGGTAGGAGGGGAAGGAGATGTAAGGCTTCTACATCCCTAGGTCCTTTTAAAATTTCATAGACTGCACTAAGTACATCACAGGCATTTTGCTGAAACACCCTGCTATTGCCAGGTTGGTTCCTTTTGCATTACCTTAATGCAAGAAACTAGACTCGTCCCAAGTGGGGAAGAGTAAAGCTCAGCCATTTCCAATTAAGGAACTGATCTCTGTCATCAAGATTCTGAGAGCTCTGACAAAGTCTAAGACAGTTTTGTAAATACAATGGCCATATATTCATTTCTGAAGGGCTAGCATTTCAAGCTCTATTAACAATAAATACATTCTGAATTTACACTACATGCTATTTAAAAGCCAAGAAGAACATGTGGCGACTCTAGAACTAAAGTCCAGTTCCTTTCCCCTCGTGTAAGTTTTCTTGTAAGGTTGCTTTGAACATGATCCTTTTTTTTTTTTTTTTTTTTTTTTTGCTTTCTTTAGAACTAGAATAAAGTCTAGTTTTAAAGTCTCCACATGTTCTTCTTGGCTATAAAATACAATGTAGTAAGAAACAATGTGTTTACCTAGCTCTTCTCCTTGATAAACAATATCATAAGGACTGCGATTCACCACTTCAACCAATCTCAAGGAGAATATATTTTTATAATTTATCTTTCCCTGTTAGATAGTTTGGAAAGAACCAATCATTCCCTATGTCCTTGCTTATGTCAATCATCATCACAAGTCTAAAATTCCTTGTTTCTACACCTAGATGGATTTCCCCCAGTGTGAATATGTACATCCTGTAATTGGATTTATACTGTTCATTAGTCCCCCAAAACTCTCAGAATCCTTAAAATCTTATAATCTAGCAACACAAAAATTCTCTGTCTCTTTAACCTTTTCAGTTATTATTTCTTCTCCTTGCCGTGATTAGAACACTGCATCTCTACTGAATTCATTGCTTCCCTGGAGGCTCTGTGAAGTCACCACTATATTTGATGCTCATAATCATTACAACACAAGTCCCATAAATAAAATTGTTTCTTGATGTGGCTGTTGCTTCTTTTCTCCCTCAAAAATCCCTGCTATTTGATGTCGTACATGGCCACTTTCTCTCCCTTTGTATTAGTCTGTTCTCATGCTGCTAATGAAAACATACCCGAGACTGGGTAATTAAGGAAAGAGGTTTAATCGACTCACAGTTCCACATGGCTGGGGAGTCCTCACAATCATGGCTGAAGGCGAATGAGCAAAGTTACGTCGTACACAGCAGCAGGCAAGAGAGCTGGGGTAGCGGAACTCCCCTTTATAAGATCTCGTGAGACTTCTTCACTATCATGAGAACAGCACGGGAAAGACCCGTTCCCATGATGCAGTTATCGCCCCCTGGGTCCCTCCCATGACGTGGGAATTATGGGAGCTACAGTTCAAGATGAGATTGGGTGGGATACAGCCAAACCATATCACCCTTCTCATTGTTATTGTTTACTACTCTTCCAATTTTAGCACTGTAGTCACTTTTTTTATCCTTAACTTGTAATCTTTCTTGGGGGCAGTAACAGTCATGGGGATAATTCGTTGTAAACGGCTCTCATATTTTTACCACTTTACCTTACCCAATTCTCTCTTAATTGCTTAGTCATTATCAGCACTGGCTATACCATCTTTCCAAAGCCTAAATTTCAAATCTCTCTGATCACTATTTTCTATATTTTATGCTCATTTACTCCATTCCATCCATGACAACAATTTAACTCCATTTGAACTTCCAACCCACTTAGACTACAATTTTTCCACTTTCTCCTGACTTACGTACTCATTTTCCCTCTTAACCAACTTAGGGTTCATGGGTCCATCATTGTAGTAAGTTGTTTAATGTACTTTCAATTCCTTCCACCTTCCCCTGACACCCGCTGACAGTCTCACAAAACTCCAGCACTACCCAAACCTAACTTCCTCCCTGCTTTTCTCCCTCTGCTCCCAGTGTCTGGAGGAATCACACAGCCTTACCACTAGGGCTCCATTTTAATTTGTAACAGCAAATTTTAAGTGAGTACCCAGGACCACTCAGAAGTGCCCAGACACCCTTCTACATTTGTCTAGTGAACTCACTTTAGTTATTCTTTCAAACTCCATATTCTCTCCAGACCACCTTTACTCTCAGTGAAAAACTCATGGAAGTAAGAAAAATTCTCCTTCACCATTGAATCTATCAACCTGTGTGCAACTGGACTCACACTTTGAGCATTCTTTCTCACTGCTATTGTGACATCCCTGCCCCTGTTACTAACTGGATCTTACACTCAGGCTCTAAGCCCCATTGCTGCTTGGTTTCTCGAGGACTTCCTGCTATTATGTCTGGTTTCTCTAACATCATCACTTTTTCCATGTGTACTGCACCTTTGTGACTCAGTACACAACTATCCTGTACAATTTACAATGTAAAAATTAAATTAAAAAACCCTCCGTCTTATGCAGTCTAGTGAGGGGACTAAAATCCCACCAGCCTCTGGTTTGGAGTAAAGAGTTAAGGTGACCAAAGGCTAGCTCAGGCTTATTCACGTTTTCAGGATGGTATCAAGTTTTCCAATCCAGTAAGAGAAAAGTATGCTGGCACGTTTCAAGTTTCTGCTTATACCTTGGTTGGTACATGTGCATTGGCTAAAACAAGTTACAAGGCCGTATTCAAGGAATTGAAAAACTAAGTCAGTCACATTGCATATGCATGGATACAGGGAAGAAAAGAATTTGTGGAAAGGTAGTAAGGCTCCATAAAGAGGAAGTGGCTGTATGATGTGTCTAGAAAAATGAGGCCTTAGGCAGTCTTGCAGATATTAGATATTTCCAGTGGCTCTGCAAGGCACAGAAGTATCAGGAAGACTCCTTTGTAGCCATAAGTGACACAAAGTTAATAGAAAGAGGTGGTTAATAGAATGGGGCTTTGTGGATGGGCACAAAGAGTGACTGAACAATGAAAAGCTGAACTAACAGCATGATGAGCTCTCATGCCTTGATATTCAGAGTCAGCATAGGGAGAAAAATCTGTGAAGTGTAGATAAACTGAAATAGATCAAATATTCCAATACCTTTGCAGAGGAAGGGATTAAAATAGAAATATAGTTGCAAAATAAAAAATTAAAGAATTTTGATTCATTGCATCTCTCAGTTTGTGGCCTAAAATTCATTCTCATTACACTTGAATTGTCTACTGTTATTTATCTAATGCTTCCCCCATATGTAAGATCATACTAGGGTGTCTTGTCAGGGAAAAGGTAGCTTTCATCTGGCAAGAACCAAAACTGCTTTTTTCCCTTGCATTTTTCCTTATTTGGGGACGTTCCTTTTCCAAAACTCCACTGCCTTTGGCAACATTCACACAATTTTAGAGCTCTTATCTTGGCCAGCAATTGTGCCAGTGACTTCACTGAGTCCCTGATAAATTAAACCTGGTGAGAATACTATGGAGACAGCAGGCTAAGGCTGGGTTTCACCTTGCTTAGTGCACTCTTTATAATCATGTTCTTCCTATTTTGTCTTTTTAATGATTTTATTTCCTCATTTATTCCCTTTCTCTCTCTCTTTTTTCCCCCAGTCCAGCTCACTCTCAATTTTATTTTCTTCCATTTCTTTTCTTTCTTTTTTTTTCTGGTTACTTTAAATTTTGAATGGCATAAGTAGTCTTTAGGGACAAAATCTATTGAGATCATACTGAATGATCTGATTTAATACTGTTTTAAATATTTTTGTTCATATTACATGGCCAGGACATTTTAATATTATTAATAGTTTTCTTCATGTAGCGTGTAAAACTTATTTCACAGACATTTACATTGCTTCCAAATTTTACCATTATATGTTGAATAACCCCATAATTAATATTTATCATTCTCTTTTAGTCTATATCATTGTTTATTTACTGGGTAAGTATGGTTAAAAATCTTGCTTAATTCATATTGCTAAATTGCTCACCAGTAATGAGGATATCTTTCTAATGAGAGTACAGTTACTCTTTAATACTAAAAAATCTTTTAAGACTTAGAGGAATAATAGTAATAAGTCAGGGCAGGCTTTAAAGAGAGTCCTATTGAGAGCACTGAGTGTGACTTGGGCACCAAAAGGACACAACTGAAATTCACAGACTAGTCTTAGAGCTGGAGAACACAATTGTAATAACAGGGCAGAAAGCAGTTCAGGAAAGAATACCCATATCTAAACAAGAAATTATATATTTATTTATTGTTATATTGTTGTATGTATATAAAGCAATATAATTATAAATTTAAGTATTTATATTGTTATAAATATTGTACCCCCAAAACTAAAAGTCAAATGTATATACAGATATATAGAGATTATACTAAAAGTCAAATAATATATATCATTTGACTTTTAGTTGCGAGGGTAAATGTGCAGGTTTGTTATATGAGTAAATTTGCATACAAATTGTTGCATGAGATTGCTTTTGATTGTTGTATGAATGATCCCGTCACCCAGTTAGTGGGCATAATACCGGATAGTTAGCTTTCCAACCGTTGTCTCCCTGGAATCTTCCCCCTTGAGCTGGTTTGGCTCTCTGTCCTGACCCAAATCTCATCTTGTAGCTCCCATAGTTTGCACGTGTTGTGGGAGGGACCCAGTGGAAGATGATTGAATCATGGGGGCATTCTTTCCCCTGCTATTCTCATGGTGGTGAATGGGTCTCATGAGATCTAATGGTTTTAAAAATAGGGTTTTCTCTGCACAAGCTCTTTTTGCCTCCTGCCATCCACATAAGATGTGACTTGCTCCTCCTTGCCTTCCACCATGATTATGAGGCTTCCCCAGCCATGTGGAAGTGTAAGAACAATAAACCTCTTTCTTTTGTATATTGCCCAGTCTTGGGTATGTCTTTATCAGCAACATGAAAAGGGACTAATATACCCCTCTATTAGTCTCCAGTGTCTGTTGTTTTCATCTTTTTGTCCATGTGTACTCAATGTTAAGATCCCATTTGTAAGTGAGAATATGTGGTATTTGGTTTCCTGTTCTGCTTTAATTTGTTTAGGATAATGGCTTCTAACTGCATCCATGTTGCTGCAAAATACATTATTTCATGCTTTTGTATGGTTACATAGGATTCCATGATGTATATGTACCATATTTTCTTTATGCAGTCCAATGTTAATAGGCATCTAGGTTGATTCTGTGTCTTTGCTATTGTGAATAGTACTGTGATGCACATAAAAGTGTCTTTTGGTAGAACAATTTATTTGTGTCTTTTTGGTAGAGCAATTTATTTTCCTTTAAGTATATTCTTAGTAAAGGTACTGCTGGATCAAATGGTAGTTCTGTTTTAAATTCTTTAAGAAATCTCCAAAATGCTTTCCACAGTGACTGAACTGCTTTACATTCATACCAACAGTGTATAACCTTTCCCTTTTCTCCACAACCTCGCCTATATCTGTTGTTTTTCAGCTTTTTAGTAATAATCATTCTGACTGGTGTAAGATAGTATCTCATTGTGGTTTTGACTTGCCTTTCTCTAGTGATTAGTGATGTTGAGCATTGTTTCATATATTTGTTAGATGCATACATATCTTCTTTTGAGGAGTGCCTATTGCTGTCTATTGTCCATTTTAATGTGTTTTTTTGGCAAACAAGCAATTTTAAAATACGGAAATTATGAAAACAATACCAGATGATAACAAACTGGGAGTAAATGCATGGTGCGACAGGGAAGCTTCAGATGAAGGGTAGTTCAAATTGATTTTTCAGTGATAAATCCATTCTGGAAATTCTAGGTAATGCATCTCTCAAATATTGACATGTTTATTATTCACCTAGGCCTGTGGCATTAGGTGGGGCTGAGGTGGGTTGGGTGTTGCAGGGTTGCTTATCCAGAAATTATGATTAGTAGAGCTGAGTTGGGGTCTAGGTGATGCTGATGGAAACGCTCAGTTAAAGGCACACATTTTGAGCACATTGATTTTAAAGGCAACTGACTTGAGTAATCCCTGCAGTCCCTCAACAAACATTAAACAGTTTAGCTCAAATTCCTTTCAAATATATATCTGAGGGTCTTTTGACTCTCACTCTCATAGTCTGGGGATATAAAATTTAGTGAGATACCTTACGCTTTCCCTTGTGAGGAACTTATCCTGGGGGCAGCTACCTTTCTACCTACTTTTAAAATCTTATCTGACCGTATGCAGATGCTGTGCACTGAGTCTGAAAACACAGGTTTTATTCATCAGTTTGTCTCTCCTTCTACCCTCTCTTCTCACTCTTCCTCCTTTGTACCTTCAACAAGGGCACTCATTTAATGACACTCTGTAGCCGAGAAGATAAAGCTGGATTTCTCGAAGCTGAAAGCTGTCGTCCTTCCATGGCAACAAGTTCAGACTCATCCTACACAGACAAGAAGCATTAGCATCTGATCTGCTTTATCCTGCAGCAGCTGGAGCCCAAGTGCTTTATGGCGGAAAGCAGCCCTTGGTGTATCCGTGGAGACAGGGAGCTTCTCCGTGCTCAGCTTGTTCTAGGATCAGTATGTAAGCTTTGTTTCCAGCAATGTTATCTGTGACAAATGCCTCCCCAAAGCCAGACTGCATCTGTTGACTGACACCCAGTCCCCATCCTCCAGATTTCAATTAGCATGTACCTTTTAGCAGTCCTCTGAAAGAAACGCTTGTTGCAATACAACTAGCAATGGACTCTACGGCTCACTCCAAACTTCCTTTGGAAGAACTAAATCACATATGTAATATTATGCAGCTTTGGTCTGTTCCAGTACCATGGTTCTGTTATAGGCAAAAAGAAGGAACAGAAAATAGCCATTTTTACTGATTGCCTTTGAATTGAGACAGGGTATTGACAAAGAAAGGCAGAGTAAGAAGTAATACTGATTTGCTCTCCCTGTGGTTACGCAGAAGCAGAGACAGCTTAGATGCAGTCCCATCTCTGCCAAATGAAATGACTGGATTCGATCTTGTCTAAGCAGAGCCCTCAGAAGATGAAGGATGCTGTACAGTAGCAGCTTTCCTTTTGAAAACTGAAATGCAAAGTCGCCTAAATTTGAATGGGCAAAAGTAGGATTAGGGGCATCCTCATGATTGAGACTCACTATCACCCTTTTGCCTGCCTTAGGTCTTCAGCTCTCCCTCTCACCAGCACCATACCTGCCTCCCCTGCCTAAGTCTGAATGGAAATCTTTTAGCCAGTTCTCTTTAGAAAAGCTGAGACACTGGCATTTTAAAAGAATTTTATTCACTACTGAGAAAAACACTAACAGAAAATACAAACAGAACCGAAACAAGTTTCTAAA